AGATTAGTAGGTAAATAACAGTAGTTAAATAAAAGGATGAACAGTAGAATATAAACAAAAACGAGAGTAGTAGACAAATAACAATAAGAATAGTTGGTAAATAACAGGATGAACAATAGTAAAATAATAGCTATCGGTAAAAAGAGTGGTAGGTAAGTAAACAATAAGAACGTTAGATAAATAACAGGAAAAATAATAGTAGATAAATAGGAATGAGAAGAGTATGGAACAAATAATAATAAGAATGATAGGTAAATAACAGGAAATATGATGGTAGATAAAGAGCAGAGCAGGCGACAATTAACAATAAGAATACTAAGTAAATAACAGGAAAAACAATGCAACAGTATGATGAATGGGAACGAAAATGAACAATTTTTATTTGCTCATACAATAGCTAAAATTTATTAATTGCCAATGTACTACTAAACTAGAAAAAAAATGCTCAATTCATGTTATTTGCAATGAATTAATTGCATATTTGCTTATTTACTTACCAATATGTTTAATTACTTATTCATCCGAATATTAATTAAGTTAAGCTAATTAATTAATTGCTTCACCAATATCAATCCATTCAATGTTAAATTTTACAGATGATAAGCTTAATCAGTTAACAAATCAGCAACGATGTTTTTGGTCCTGCCAAATGATTGTCATATTTTTTGTCATTATGATCATAATTAATGTATTAATTATACTATGCTTAATGATGAATCATGAAACAGATAGAGAAATGTCAACATTTTATAGTAAATTCATTCCATTGAATGATTTTCGGAAGCGTACATTAGCAACATTTAAATTACAAAGGTATTTACATTTTTGTTTAATTGTTAAAATTATATTTTCAATTAATTTATAATTTTTGATTGTCATCCTTTTTTATAATTATAACCTTTGACATGAAAAGTTTATTTAAAAAAAAAAAAGAAGAAAAAAGAAACGTGAATTACTTCAAAATGGCTTACTTTACTAATATAATCTTTTACTAAATATTTTATATTAATTTTCATTTTATATTAATTCATTCCATATGAATTCTTCTTTTAATTTATATTAGCTTACTTTACATTAATTCTTTTTTTTTGCTTTATATTAATTTATTTCATATTAATTCTTTACTTAATTCTTTACTTTATATTAATTTTTTATATTAATTCTTACTTTATATTAATTCTTTTCTTACTTCATATTAATTTACTTTATACTAATCCTTTAGTTTATAGTAATTCGTTTTTGACTTTATATTAACTTGCTTTATACCAATTCTTTCTATCATTGAAAAAAAAAATTTCTTTTTTTTTAAAAAACCAAAGAAAGAAAATTGTTAAATTTCAGAAAAGGAAATTAATAAATTAAAAAAAAAAATGAAAATTTGAAAAAATATTTTAATTTATTTTTTCAAACTATTAAGGCCATTACTTAGCATTGATACAAATAACAATTTACTCATTCTTTCATCATTTGACAATCATAATGGTCAATTATTTGTTGAACAATTATCATTTGATAATTTTCAAAATGGATTCATGTAAGTTTTATTGAAATTAAATACGTTTGATTTTTTTCTTTTTTTTTTGTTAATTTTTTGCTCATGATTAATTATTAAATTAATTTATTAATTTTTATTGCATGGAACTTTTGTTATCAAATTAGTTTAATTTTATTCAACAAATATTTAAAACTTAGAAATTTTAGAAATTTAATAAAGATATAAATGCATCATTGGAAATTAATTAATAATTGCTAAATTAATATCAGCAAATATTTAGAACTTAGGAATTTTAAAAATTTAATAAAAATACAAATGCACTTTTAAAAATTAATTAATAATTGTTAATTTAATAAAAATAAAAATTTAATAATAAATTAAATAACTTACTCCCATAATTTGCATCTGATAATTGCAATAACATAACTTTTTTGATACTTTTATCATCTTATTATGTAAAATAAGCATG